AAAATGTAGAAAATCCGATCCCATATATAAACGAACACACACACACACACACACACAACCTGGGTTTTATAAGTATGACTTGATATGAGTTGTCCCCTTTCATTCTGGCGACAGAATCGTGTTTTATCATGTTTTTAAATTGATTTCATGCAAAAACAATTGTGTTTTTTTTTTTAATTTTTGGCACTGTCACAACCACCACAAGGTAATTTTACGCAGTCCCGTGAAGTTCTGTTGAAATCGGTTGAAAAATGTAGGAAATCCGATCCAATATATAAACGTACAGACACACACACACACACACACACACACACACACACACACACACACACACACACACACACAAAAATCTGCGTTTTATAATAAGTAAGATGTTATGTTAATTAAGGATATAAACGATCAGGGTTCTTCATCGATTCTGTTTCTTCATTACATTTGGAAGTACGATAACATATTGGAAAATATAAGGGAGTGTTTTCCAAATGACTTCTTGATATTTTTAATTCAGCGCATATCCTAAAATATATTATTCAAGAATATTTAAGATATTGAAAAACTCACTGTGCCCATTTATCAAGAATAACACTAATATAAATGTTATATCTCTGGCAATGAGAATCAGTATCTTGTGTCTTATCCAAGCCACCCTCCCAAATAAAACTTTGATTACACCCCAAATTAATCACATACAATCCTTAACTTACAGTATATAACTAAAAATGTTTTTCCCCTCATTGGGTTTATATTTTAAGCGTGAATTAAGAATAAGACTTGAGAATTGGAGAGGTCCAGTTAAAATTATCTGATGCTAAAAGAAACTTATCTGTCAAGGACAAGGTCGACCGAGAGTCCTACTCATTTAAAATAGACATTACGGGACACCGGGGTTGATGGCTACTTATCTAGGATGGGAACGTAAGAATCTAAGATTCTGAGGAGAGATCATCTTGCGCTTGTAACAGCATTAATTTCTGAAAGTGGCCATGAAGCAGAACAAGTGTTGCTTCGGGACGGCACTTTGTCAAATGGAATAGATGGTTTGATGTCCGGCTTCTAGTTTAGCCCCGGTTCAGGACAGTGTCAAACTGACAGTGAATTATGGCGGGGCGTACGCGAGAAGAATACCTTGTGATTATTCTTGTCTTTAACTTGCGAGAGCTCTTATGATCGCCGTGAGACAGCAATGAGAGAGAAGTGTCGAGAGACGGGGAAAAATTATAATATCCAGTTCACTGAGATTGGATCCAAAAGATTAAGAATTGAGGGATCAGGTTTTACCAGGGTTGGACAGATATGGACGGGGAAAAATTATTTTCTTCGTAGATGCTGTGGATTTTACAAGTATAAGATTTATTGCAATAAGAATTATTTGCTTAAAATATTTTTAAGATTTAATGATCGTTTGACTGGCTCTGTAAATAAGAGAAAATTGCGACAGCATTTGTTAAAAAATGAGAACTAATTACATTATTTAAGCTATATAGATAATCGAATTTTATCTGAAATATTTGCAGTGGTTATATATATATATATATATATATATATATATATATAATTATTTCACACAAAACTAATGCAAAGGTTAATGATTTAAATGGCGAGACATCCATCATCGCAAACAATTCAAATATAGTATAAAAAACCTCCAGATCCGTTATGAATGAATTGATCCTTGTTTATATAAATTTCTGCCGTATTAGTTGTTATTTTTACTACAAGCTTTCGTCTGTTCCTACAGACATCTTCAGGTATAGAATAGATGTTGTTTTTGTTTTTTTCTCTTAGTAATAAGAGGACAACGAAAATATATGTGTTGTTGTATCCGAAAATGCTATTGAAAATGAGTTATTGGTTTTGGAACGCGCCAAAGCAACGCTGAGTTTGATTTTAAATTTTTGAAGTGTTTGAGTTTATACCAAATATGGTGATGAACAAATTTTTTTACATGCCACTTTGACAGAAAAATTTACCAGTAACTTCTCATTCTCATAACTTTAGATAGATAAATAAAAAATCCATACATTCAGATGAAAAGTAAAAATAAAATCATCCTTTATAATGTCTAAAAGAATAGCCGAAAGCGCTTGGACGTAGAGAAAATTCACAAAATTTCTACATAATTTACGTCCAGAAAAGCTTTCGTCTGTTCCTACAGACATCTTCAAGTATGGAATAGATGTTATTCTTGTTTTTCTCTCAGTAATAAGAGGACAATACATATATTTTCGTTGTCCTCTTATTACTGAGAGAAAAAAACAAGAACAACATCTATTCCATACCTGAAGATGTCTGTAGGAACAGACGAAAGCTTGTAGTAAAAATAAGAACTAATGCAACAGAAATTTATAAAAACAAGGATCTTTTCATTCATAACAGATTCGAGGTTTTTGTACATTATTCGAATTGTTCGCGAAGATGGATTTCTCGCCAATTAAATCATTAACGTTTGTATTTGTTTTTGTATGAATAATTCATGAATATATATATATATATATATATATATATATATATATATATATATATATATATATATATATATGATGATGAATAGACAAAATAGATATTAACATTACATTAGGCAAATTTAAGTTAACAAAACCAAAAATTTTAAACAGGACAGAGTGCAAAGTAAGTGTTGAAATTCTGGAGGCTGCTGTATGCAAAACATTCCTTGAAAATGAATGTACTATCACTCGTAAGCACACACGAAAAAATAATATAAAATATGTATTAATTTTGGCAAATTTACCGATGAAACAAAACTACTTATTCGAAAATTTGAAATACTTAGTAAAGAAAATAGATCTTGTTCATATTATTTAACAAAACATGTTTGAGAGAATTCCTGCTGCCGAAATGCACAGTTTTTGTCTTTAGGAACGTGTGTAAAACATAAAATCTCAGGAAGATTAAATTAGATAAGAATTGTTTATGTTGTACATAAAACTTGTTGTGAATTGTCATTTGGGTGGTAAATGACGTACACATCTTGTAATAAGCTAACTAGAATTGGAACCTGTAATTCCCTAGCGGTCACCCATCTAGGTACAGACCTGAAACGACGTTGCTTAACTTCGGTGATCGTACGGGAACAGGTGTTTCAACGTGACGTGGCCGTAAACCGTAAGACGATAAGATTCAACATTACTTGTATGAATTACATAATATATAATTGAGACCAAAAGAAACAGCCCACTATACGAATTACAAACTGAAGATGCTACCAAAATCAAGCAAGTCCAACAAATTAAATATGCAAGAATAGGCGACACCGAAATCCGAAGGCGAATTGGGATAGCGAAAGATGCCTTCCAAAAGCTGAGAATTGCAGCTTAATTGACTTGCAAATGAAACAAAATAAAATAAGAACACTTAAGGTGGCCGCAACAAACAATGGTTGGTGCATGTAACGCATTTCTAGCAAAACGGATATAACAACTTAACATCATATATTGCCTATATGTGTTGGGAAATGTTTGAAAAGAGACCGGAAATGGCGACAGTGTTATCCGAAGTTACATTGGGAGAGCGGAAATGCATTAAAAAAAGATAAGCAAGCAATTAAGGAACAGGACAATTTCGTTAGAAACAACAACAGAAAAAAAAAAGAGTACAGAGCTGCTACGTAATATCATTCGTCCTATTTGGCATCGAATGTTGGGCAGTCTCTTCACAGATGAGAAAGACACTGGAAGCAACCGAAATGTGGTTCTGCAGAAGGATGCTGACAAAACCATGGACTGACTTAATATCAGGAAGAGGCAGTTGACATTTCTATAGCATATGATGAGGAAATAGGGCTTAGAAATTTCGACACTCACAAGACATATTAAAGCCAAGAGGAACAGAGAAAACCAGCGCATAACCTATGAGCTTGTGTAAATTTTTGGGAAAGCGGGTTTTGACAATTTGGTTCTGACAGGACAGATGGGAGGCAAGAGAAACAAAGGTAAACAACGCATAACTACCTGTGACAGCCTGAGAAAATGGTTGGTATAACAATGTTAGAAAGATAAAAAAAATACAGAAATTATTAAGCGCTAGAAAGGACATAAAATTGTGAACCGCCAACATAAGGTAGAGAGACGGTAGAAAGAAGAATAAAAAGATACACAGAATAAACAGCACAAACATGTATACACACACAATTATATGTGTGTGTGTGTGTGCGTGTGCGCATTTAAGCAGTAAATTCTCTCTTATGCATGTCTGATTAAATAAATTAAAACATTATTATGTAATTTTAATTTTATATATATATATATATATATATATATATATATATATATATATATAATATAAACAGTTTTTTCGGTCAAATTCACATTCTTCCAGAAAACGGTTATGTAAAAGAGTGCCCAGTAAATAATGTAAAAAAGAAAAAACACACAAATATCAAATTCAAGGTATACTAAATACTAATGCTAGCATGGTTTCCACTGGTAATGTTATAACCTCCACTGTCTGAAGAAACGTTACCGGTGAAAACCATGGTTGCATGAGTAATTTAGTATTCCTTCACTTTGTGTACATGGCTGCAGTCACTTGTATACCCACACCTCCAGTCTATTAATGTCTGCTTGAGTCCCCGATTCCATGCATCATACGTTGGTACACTAGGCTACTCACTCTCATCTTTTTTACGGTATGATCTTCGCAAGTGTTTGATTGTTTTTTAATAATGGAATTTCATCGATAAAACCTTCTTGTGTGATCGTTACTCGGAGTTAAATTGTTTCAAAGTTTTAGATATTCAATAAATTTCCTATGCCCGTAACAACTTCCAAATAGTAAGCCATTGTTCACAAATCTAAAAATCAAACAAAAACAGTGATGAACCTGCAGGGCTTGATTCAACTGCAAGTACAAACTTATGAACTCCCCCTCCTTCTTCGTACATTTACTGTAAAGCTGGAGGTTTTCAGGAATTTGTTCCCCCTTTTAACGCTTCAGTCATTCTTCTCAAACAATTTTTGCATCAAAGCTTGTTTGGATACCAATTTAGGGTGAAATCCTATGAAGAAAATATTGGCTAAAAGGCAAAAGCAGATTTGGGGCCTGGTTTGTCGTAGATTTCGTCCACTTAATTGAAATAATCAGAACCAAACTTTCGCGCAAGACAATTTGTGTGTCATAAGTACATGGCAAATTTTCAAAAAAAAAAAAAAATGCAGACTGTTATGGCCGAAAATAGAAGGGGGTTGAACAGTTATTTTATGTTTTTTCGTTATACGGGGGCGAGCATGATTAAAACCACACAACACTATTTGTTTCATGATGGCATATTAAACCTTAACAGAAAAAAAAAAAAGATTTTTTTTCTCTTACTTAAACCCCTTCCACCCACCTCTCCTAAAATTCTCTCTGTTAAGGTTTAATCTCCTTCTTCCTCATACTTACCCTCTCTCTAAATTCTGTTTTTATTTCCGGAGTTGTTTTTTTTTCAGTTTTTTTTTTTTAATTTGTAGGTCTGATGAATTAGATCATATTTACGATCCAATGGAATAATATATGACCATGGAATATTAGTGTTTAAGCCTTTTTATTATATCCTTACTCTGTCCTAGACATTGAGTTCTACCTGGATTCTTCCTCTTGGAATTTTTTTTTTCTAAAATATACATATATGAGTATTTATATTTATATATTTTGCATATGTATGTATATTTTCCACTAATATTATCTATCTATCTATCTATCTATCTATCTATATATATATATATATATATATATATATATATATATATATATATATATATATATACAAATAAAAATGCATTTAAGCTATCTTCCGCGGGGAGCTCTTAATTGGGTCGTTATCATAATAGATAGGGAGGAGTAGTAGATTTGATAGGCAACAATAAACTACAGAACTCAAAATTGATCATTGCATTTAAGTATTGTATTAATATTTAAGTTTGCCTTTAAAAGTTCGGCGATAATTCTTCTGTCGCCACTTAATTTAAAGACAATTTGTCCTTTACTTTCTGTACACATAATTATTGTTTATTTTATGTTTGACTTTCGCTGGAGTTCGCAATTACTTTCAATTATTCCCAGATTTATTTCGAAGGTATAAAAACTTCGCCGTAAGAATCACGTAAAAAGTCGCCAAAAACAATCGCAGTAATGAATCCAACATTTCAGGATCGCGTGTTCGAATCCAGCCCGGGATGTTTTTAATTTACTCACGGAGTCGGCCTGATTCCAAAATGGTATGACATGTTGGGTTACTGCCTGTAAGAGTAAAGTCGAAAAAGTGAAACATAGTGACACACTGCCATTCGCATTTAATATACATATACAATGCTGTTCAATAAAAGTGACTCACCTGAGTTTTTTTTACTAAATGTTCTCTTCTCCGATGAAAAGTAAGTTGAGCTAAATCCAAAGGATAAGCGATCTAAAATCCGAAGAAGAAGCTTTGAAAGCTTTTTGAATTTAGCAGTAAGTACTGTCAAGCATCCGTTCAGTATAATGTTCTGGGGATGCTTTTCTTTTCATGGAACTGGTTTCTTAAAACCTATTGAAAAGACCCTCAGGAGCGAGCAGTACAAGAGAATTTTAGCGTCTTGTCTGCTCCCTTCTCCTGAAAGGGTGTAAATCGACCCAACCAAGCTCATTTTTATGCAGGATAATGCTCCCTGTCACAAATCAAAATTCCTCTAGGAATACTTTGATGAGAAGCAGGTGAGTGTTATGACATGGGCGCCCCAATATCCTGACTCAACACCATAGAAAATTTATGGAACATTATAAAGTACAGACTCTCGAGAAAGCAGTTAAGCAATTTCAGATTTTAGATCGCTTATCCTTTGAATTTATCTCAAGGAGAACATTTAGTAAAAAAATCAAGTGTGTCAATTTTATCGAACACTATATATATATATATATATATATATATATATATATATATATATATATATATATATATATATATATATATATATATAAATTAATAATAAAAAAAGAAAATGTCAACACTCAGTAGCATAAACTATGAATACGGCCAACATTGACTGACCGTGTTTGTAAAATATAACATTCCTATATCTCTAGACACGAACATAAAAACGCTTTTAGTTCAAAATGTAAACTAAAAATCGCCCACGATAAAGGCTAAAATTGTACGCTAAATCGCTTGGATATGCAGAACATCTGTCCAGAATACAAAACACTTATACGAACACAGGAAAAATTGAATGAAAAAACTTTATCGCATTACCTTGTCAGTCGTCTTTAATGAAACCTGTATAAAAGAGGGTTTCTACCCAAATACACAATCATATATATATATATATATATATATATATATATATATATATATATATATATATATATATATATATATATATGAAGAGGAAATATATTTCTGTGATTTGGCTTTCTATGGAAAAACACAAATATGTCCAAGGTTCCGCTAACAAATCTTTTAATCGCATTTTTATCCTAGCGTCCTCGCTTACTTTTTGGAAACCGTTAATCTTTCCCGTCATTTGAAAGCTAACATCCCGCTGATTCAGCTGACGAGAAAAGCTTAAACTCTCTTTTTTCATCTTCACTGGACGGTTACTGATGGGTGAAAGCGGATTGAGTCAACTTCGTTCAGCTTTTCGAATGTCTTCCCCGTTTCTCTTTAGCCTGTTTTGATTCTTTTATAAAACAAATCCTCCCAAAGAACGACGCAATAGACATATCACACACACACACAAAGACACACACACACACACACATATATATATATATATATATATATATATATATATATATATATATATATGTATATATATATATGTATGTATGTATGTATAATCATTTCCCTTTCGTCGGTCAGGCTTAACCTTGGCTCGTCTTGAATGATCCCACTCAAGACCGTCAATTTATAACACTGAAACGAACTGCGGAAAAGTTCAGTTACATTGTCCGTATGCCATCGCTCAAATTACCCTCCGAAGCGCCGGGAAACAAAGAGGATCAACAGTGAAACGCAAATATTGATCTTTTGACCAAAGGCCCGAACACAGTTCGTAAGCTCTGTTATGGGCTTTGAGTCAAAGCTAAGTGAGTTTTATTCCTCTGTGCCTATTAAATACGCGTAGCTTAGTAAGCTCCCATTAGC